CTTGGGAAAATTTGATGTGAGGTAATATAAACTGGCACCAATAATAAATGCAAATCCAAGTTTAAACTTCCAGAACAGGAGCTGGAATGATCCCTGTTTGTCACTCCGAGCTGTGGGCGAGTTGCAGGGGTTGAATTTTCTGTGCCAGCATTGATTCCTTCTGTTTATATTCTACAAGTAAAATTTTGAGCAGTTGCTTTGTGAAATGTTTGAAGTTATCCCATTGAGGTGGTGGTTGTTGTGCAGAAAGCTGTTCCCTTTCCTAGGAAAATGTCTGGGAATGTCTGACCAGCCCTGCACGGCCGACAGAACTGATGCTGTTCTGCATGGTCTGTACCTTTGCTTTCACCACCCTTTGGGCTTTACACAGAGTTGTTGTCAGGTTTAAGTTGGTTATTTGGGTGCACTGACAACATTTTTGAATTCTTAAATCTGTTATTCCCTTGCAGTGATGATTTAATTAATTGTTGGTTTAAATGATTCAAAAAGATGAATTCAATCTAAGAGCAGTTTACAATTCTATGAGTATAAAACAGATTAACGTACAACCCAAATTTAACTGGGCAATATTTTGCTTCAGTTGATGCTTTAGCACTTTTTAATGCTACATTAACATTTTTGTAGGGTTTAAATTTGTTATTTTTCAGAGGAGGAATAAAATCACCTGTAGTTTCTCACTGGTCAAGTCAGTATCCTGTTCCCTGTTCTTACATTCCCTGATCCCATCAAGCTGGTTGTCCCTCTCTCCTTGTTCTCCAGTTTCTCCTCCATTCTCCATCCTTGTGGTGGCATGTGGGAACTCTCTTGGTGTCCCTCCATGGAAGAGGGAGGGTTCCATGCTTGTTTCCTGGATTCAGATGCTCTTTCAAGCTGGATAAGATGAAAACTGTGTTTCCACTCTCTCTGTTTAGTGTTTCACTTTCAGCAGCCTCAGCTGTGCTTCACCTCTGCTTTAAGGCCGAGGGAATAAAAGAGCATCCACCTTTTTCGTCACGGAGCCACCTCCTCTCTCCATGGAAAACTCCTGCTCTTTGCTGGGCTCCCCTCTCCTGTAACACGCAGTTGTGGGGTTTTGGGGTTGCTTCCTTCCCTCCCTCCATGATCCACAGCTCCAGGCCCAGTCTGTACTCTGGGTAGTCTTTTCCATTTCATCCAGATTTTCCTCAGGTTTCCCAATAGGCTTCCAAATACAGGTTCCCAACCTGTTGGTCTGTGTGGTGTGTTCTTTCCCTGCTCTGACTCACATCCATATTTGAGTGTCTTGCCTTAATCATTCCTTGTTTTTCACAGATCTCTGCCTGTATTTTAATTTCTTTTCTGTCCAGCTTCCTCTTACACTTCCTGTTCCCTGTGCATGTCTGGTGTCTCTTTGTAAGAGGAGATGCTTTGCAGCAGCCCCTTCTCCAGCCCAGCCGCTTGCACATCATTTATCAGGGCACTTTTATTTAGTTGTAGCTGCACAGGGGATATCTGTTCCCGATGTTCATTTGAACAGGAGGAATAAAGAGTTATATTTAAGAGAATCTGAAGTTGTTCTGCTGATTTGGAAGTGGGAGCATACGGTGAAAGGTTTAAAAATAAGCAGGATTTAAGCTACAGCTTGCATATTAAATACAGCAGTGCAGATGCCCGTTTTCCAGCATTGTTGAGCTTTCCTAGGATTCCATGTCAATAGATGGTTTGGGACACAAGCCCGGTGTGTGTTGTGTGTGTTCCCAGACGCTCTCCAGCCCCTCTCCTGGGTGTGTAGGAGCTCCAGGGTGACACAAAGGGCTGAGCACGGCCTCGTTTGTTTGGGGAACTTTGCTGCAGAACCCAAACTTAATCAATGAGCTCGGGGCTGGCTGTGATAGGTTACGTACTGCCTGTATTGATTGGGGAGGATTTTAGAAGAGCCACGTGGGGTTTCTAATGTCAGCAGCACTCGGATTATGAGAGGAGCTGGAAGGCTGGCTGGGGAGCCAGGTGGTGCCTGTCCTGCAGCCCTGAGCCATCCCCCCGGGACACGGCTCTGCCCTGCCCTCAACTGCGGGCACTGCCTGCTGGGGGGGCCTTGCTGCTCATTAAATGGGACAGATCCAACTGCAGGGAAGAGGATGGGCCAAAGGATAACCTTGGGATCGATCCCCAAGCCTGGCAGGGGTGCCCTGGGGACCCGGCTGGGGCTCCCGGGGTTCCACACCCATCAGCTGCCCGGCCTGGACTGTTGGGGGCTTCTCTTCTTCTCCTTGGGGGTTTCATTTACAGGCATTTGTGTTTCTTTAAGAAAATAGGCATGAGGGAATAAAATAAGAAAACAGGCTGTTGATGCTTCCTCTGTGTTTCGTGCTGGGTAAAAAAAGCATAAAAGAGATTATAAGGTGCTGACATGGAGCATTTCTGGGTTTGGGCTTGTGGTGGGTTTTGTTGGAAATCATAAAGAAATGGTGGTTTTTCTAGGTCATAAGTAACCACCCACCTAAAGAGGTCGGGTGGGAAGTTGTGTATGATGTAGGTATTGCTTATCTTTCAAACTGAGGGGTATTTAAAGAATTAAAAAGAAAAAAAAACAGCATTATATTTAGAGTAACGAGCTTGCAGCTTGAGCAAAAACGGGATAGTTCCCCAGTAATTGTACTTCTTACATCCAGAACATCAGCAGTTTTGCTAATTAAAAACTAATTCTGCATATGAGTTTTAAATTTTTTTAAAGAGTTACAATTTAAAAATAAGCCTGTGGTTAACCTGTGCCAGTCTCAATTTTTTCAGCTGTGAATCCAGGCAGATAAGTGTCGGTGTATAATGAATGGCAGATTATGTCCAATGACATTACAAAAGCCAGATAATAATGTCACTGTAAAATCTTTCTTTAAAAGAGAAGGCAGTGTAGAGTGGTACAGATCCAGTATATTCAATATATTACCTCTTTAAGGGAAAATTTCATTTGCTGTGTTTAGTAAACTGGGAATATCAAGAAACAAGTGCAAAGTGAGTTTTAAGTCTTGCACTGCTCCAATAACACAGTGCTGATGAGATGCTGGATGTTTTATTGTGGGAATGGGTTTACTTGCAGTTACAGGAATTATGTAGATCATCAAAATAACAGAGAGAATGTATTCTGCCATTTTGAGGTGACTGATGGCTCGTTACCTTTTAACGCTGTTTTATTTCAGAATTTGATGCATCTACACGATTTGTTTCTAAAAAAATAGATACACAGTCATTATTTTGAGGACAATAAAAATATAGGCACTTTGCTCTCCTGCAGTTATAATTTTGATGATCATTGGATTCTTTTGAGGGTTTCTTGTTTGTTTTTTAGTGCTTTGTGCAGTGAGATTTCAGCTGTGCTGAAGGACAACTGTGCAGGGGTTAAAACTGGTCAGGGTGCAGGTTTTGTGGGTGAGCAGTTGGAGTTGTTCAGCTTGGGGAAGGCAGTGAGGTTCTGCAGTGGGGGAGCCCACTCTCATTAATGACACCTTGGCTATCAAGGCATTGTTTTGGGTCGAAATGCAGGTTTCTGCAGAGTTTCCTCTGAATCTACATAACTCCTGCCCGAGTTTGCCGTGCGATTCAAAGCAGGGGACGCCTTTGCTCTACACGGCTTTCTTCAATAGACCCTTTCTTGTTCTTTAAAAACAGGAGGTTGTTAAATAATCTATCAATAAACTGTCAAGAAGTCAAAGTTTCCATATCTGTTTCTGCCTGAAACCTTCAGAACTTGCCACATTTTAGTTGTCAAGAAACCTCCAAAGAAGAGAGCGAGGAGTTGAGCCTGAAACCAGGGCTAAGGCTGGGCTGTGCTGCTGTGAATTATGCAGGAGGAACATGTTCCTGCAAGGGAGTCAATATGTTTTGTGCTTCACTGAAGGGGTGATTAGATTGATGGAGTTTATTTGGGAACGGTGGCGTTTGGTTTAGAAATAAATGAAGCGAGAAGCATCTATTTAGTCATTGATGATAATTTATTGCTGCTGGTCAGAAAAGGGTTGAATTTATTAGGGGGGTTGTTGTTTGTTCAGGGTTATCCTGTTTAGCTGAAAGCAGAAATAGAATTTACACTTCAGGGCCTGAAATATTTAAGTGTGAAGGAGAATGAGCAATGAATTGGCTGTAGGAAAGATCTGCAAACTGGGAGACCTTTAATGGGGGGTTGTGGGTTGCAGAATTCAAATTTTGGATATTATAGAATGATCTAATGGATTGCTTTTGTCTATGAACACAACTGTTTTGGGACTAACATTTCTGGGTTTGCCTCTTTACTGATTGTCTCTGTTTAATGTTGTAAAATTGAAAATTATTAATTTATCTGCTGATCGTGTTTTCACTTTTCATAGTCATCCTTTTCTTTGCTCTCCTGCAAAGGCTGTGCTTAAAGGTTTCCCCATTTCTGGTGCTGTTTTGCAACTTGTAGAAAATGGTTTGTGGGTTTAAAAATCTGCATTAATTTTAATACACATTATTTTAGCCAGTGTTTCAACGCTCAGATTTTCTTTTTAATAGCAGTAGGCAGCGTTAAACATTCCTGCTATGAGACCTATTGGCTTCTTCTTTTGTTATTTATCTTGCTGATGTTAGGAAGTGTTCTCTAATCCCCAGACCTCTGTTCCTAGGTAACAGTCAAAAGCTGTGCCAGCAGAAGTGGTCCTGCCAGGCCAGGCCCATGTGGTTTGGTGTTATTCACTCCGATCCATATGGTCAGGGCAGGGATTGTCCCCAGAGAGGTGTTAACACTCAACAACCCAACCTCCTCCTCCTCTTTGGAGAATTGCTGGATGGCTCCTGCTGCCTGCCCATGTGTGAATCTTGATTAATTTTTCATTTTTAATGAAGTTTGATCATGTTTATTATTTCACATGATTGACTGCCTGATACTCCTTCCATGTAATTGATAAAGCCCATATTTCTTCATCTGTCTCTTGTTTCTTCAGGGCAAAGTTGTGAAATTGTGTGATGTGGTTAATATTAGATTTATTGGTCCCAATAGATGTATAAATTATCTTTTTTTTTTCTCTCCACAGGAAGTTCTACAGACTTTGACCAAGTTTTGTTTCCCCTTCTATGTGGACAGGTATTGTTAGCTTTTCAAACTTTACAAGAAAATAAGCTTGTCAATAAAACCCCTGTAGAAAATAAAAACCATTCCATTCATAATGCTCTGTCTGTGTGACTGGGACTCAGAGCACCCGAGTGCAAATTACAGTCCTAGAATCACTTTTTCCTGGGATTTTTATGGGCACCATCAAAAAAAAAGAAGTTTTAAAAGTTGGATTTGCTCAGTGGCAGCACTACGAGGGTGTTTGGTGTTACTTCTGCTGAGAATGCTTGGGTAGCAATTGTCAGATGTGCATATTAATATCAAAGCTTTGTGTGCTCATGTGTTTCATTTCTTCATTGCCAAAATTTGGGTGGAGCAGTGAATTAAATGCTTTGCATTGAAAGGCCTCATGCTCTTGCTGGAGTGCTGGTGCTTTGGGGGTGAGATCGTACAGTGAATGTCAGAAGATCTGAGAATATTTAATTGTTGTAATTTGGAAAACTCTACAAGTTCTGTAGTTTTCCTTTTACTGTGAGTTATTTTTGGTGGTTTCATGAAAGGAACGAGAATTGAAATTTTGCAAGGATGCACCAGTGCTCACATCATCCTGAGCATCACTTAATTGGGCAGAATGCCTTTCCTTTGTCAGCTGAGACACTGAATGGTTTGGGTTGAGCAGATTGACCTGGACTGTGATTAGACTGCTGGAAATGTTTGTCTCACTTTAGAATTTGGAATCACTCTTTTGCTGCTCATCTCTTTCCTCTCCTAAGGGGAGGGAGCAGGGAAATACTCATATATATTTTCCTCATGTATATGTTTCTACTAGAAATATTTATGCTTCCTGTGTGTAGATTTATTGTACCTAGGGGTTTTGTTTGTTCTGTTGTTTTTGGTTTTCCTCAGCAATATAACATTTTGAAAGATAAGAACACTGAAAACCCATATGGGGTGCAAATGAGAACATAATGAAAAGTGATTCCCATTTCTGGATCCACTTGTTTGTCTGAGTATCACAGACTGTCACTGAAATGCTGTAAGCCAACTCCTTGAATGTAAAGGAGAGATTGTAACCCATAACATACTTAATAATTGCAAATTAAGGGTGGACTTCCAGTGCTGCAGCAGGTAGAGGACACCCCAGGTGAAGGTTGTGGCAGCTCCTGCTCTTCTGACTGTACAAGTGCCCAGTGTTGGCCCTGGAGGTTTTGGCTCTCGAGGCACAGACACTTCACTGCTTTCATGTTGGTTCTCTTTGTGTCTGTTGAGGCCAGTGGGCAGCAATCCCCAGGGCCTTGTTGCCCATTCCTTTAGGCACTGGAGCAGGAGTTTTCTGCTCCCTTGGTGGCAGGATCAAGGCAGAGGCTCTTCCCCAGCTGCAGGAGGGCAGAGCTGCCCCTCAGTCTCACTCCTGCCAGGACTGTGTTGGTCACACAGAGCTGGAGAGGGGGCATGGAAAGACATCCCTGTTCCTCTGTCCCCTTCCCTCCAGCCCTGACTGGTGTCTGCCCAGTCAGAGAGGAGATTGATGGTGCTTCCAGCCCGTGAGGCTCTGCATGGGCCTCCTGCCCATTGGAAGCAGAGCTGTGAGTCCCAGGGGTTGATATTCAGATCTGAGGAGGCACTGTGCACGTTGGGAGGTTTATCCTTCCTGTGAAGAACTGGCACTGACACTTGGGCAGGACCTGGGGGCCAGATTTGGTTTCTGCAGATCACATCCATGCAGGACTCTTTAGGTTTGCTCTGGAGGAACTCCCCAGCTCGTCACAGTTGTTTAATAAACAAGCTTCTCCCCTCTGTAATGAAACATGGTTTCCCCCTGTTCCATAATTTTAATTGTCAGCTCAAGTGCTATTTCTCACACACACTCTGCTCTCAACCTTGTTAAAATTAAGCATATAATCCCCTTTTAAAACAGCATACTAAAATCACCATAGTAACATTACATCCAAGCTTTACAGATAAAACACACCACCGGTGAGGGATTTTTGGGTATCCCCAGCAGCTCAGTGTGGTTTATGGAAGTGGTTGCTCTGCTGACATTTAGATTTCAGGAGGATGATTGTACTTCCACTGGCTAATTTTCAGACTACTGAGATGCTTTAAACATCTGTCTCTTTCTGTCCATCTTCATCACTGCATGTTTTCCCTTCCTTGTTTGGAATCCACTGAAGGATTTTTCTAAACTGGACAATGACATCTTTCCCATCTGGATCCAACTTTTACTTCAGAAAGTCTGTTTTTCTTTTGTTTCCTCCTCCCATAGAAATTGTTTATTGCATTGTATATGACATCACAGAAGAGAATATTCTGAGGCTGGTAGTTAAATGGCTTTGAATTTAATGAGATATTTGTTGCAGTTGGTAGAAGTGACTTGTAAAGCTGCACATGTCAGTGTAAGTCATTTTTCTCAGTTCTCAGTAAACCTAAAAAGCCCTAGAACATAACCTGAAATAAATGTTCATTTCACGTCATTAGAAATATTTTGGGTCATATTGAATGTGGGGTTGGTTTGTACCGTGTGCCCTTGGTGGAAGATGGTTGATAGTCAGAGTCATTTTCATTTAAAGATAAATTTAGCATTTTTAGTTTCCTCCCACACTTAAAAAAATGGAAAAAACCCCAAACCACAACTCCCCCCCCATCCCTCATCAAACAAGGAGCACGTTTAAGGTTCTAGAGGGTGCGTGCTCTCAAAGTTAATTTCTCAACAGAACTCTGCTGAAAGAGGAAATGTTACAGGTTCAATGACTTGCTGCTTGACAGAGTTAGCTCAGCATTGACTCCCTGTTGCTCTCTGTTCCAGCCATGCAGTTAACCAAGTGGGGCAGAACTTCACATTTGTGCTCACAGACATTGACAGCAAGCAGAGGTTTGGATTCTGTCGCTTGTCTTCTGGGGCCAAGAGCTGCTTCTGTATCTTAAGGTAGGTCTGTGCTTTGGCTTCTGGCTGACTCCAGGAGCAGGGTTTGGCTTTGCTGTTCCACTGCAATTATCATTTCCAGCTGTTCCAAATTGTTTTCCTATCTGGCCCTCAAAGTCACTGCTCTTCTGCACGAGTGGTGCAAAATCTCTTGCACTTGGAGTTGCTGTGCAGATAACTGTGTTTGTTTGTAGTCAACGTTCTGGAGTTGACAACGTGGAAGAGGGGCTCTGTGCAGTGATTTGATATGACACAGCACGATGGCAGCTGTTATCTTTAGCTGTCACAACTGATCTGGTTAAGACATTTCGTGGACATTTGTATATGCAAGTTTTATTAACAAAGCATCTGTTGGTAACTGAGAGAATGTCACTGATGCTCTCCACAGCCTCAGAGTTTGGATGTGTGAGCTCTGCTCTGTCCCACTGAGGGCTTTGTGAAGTTTGGCATAATAAAGACTGTCAGGGGGAGTTGGGAGCAATGCATTTCACAGAAAATGGGCAAACAGGCTCTATCAGAAGAGATTTTGATGACCTCCCACAGCCATGTAGGAATACAGTCCATAACTTTTTATTTACATTTGCTGCAAGAAATGATGCCAGTAAAATCAGTGTTGATCCCAATACATCAGTGCCATCAGGGACTGCTGTGCAGGGAAGGTTTCCACGGGGCATCTGATCTGCCTTAGTTTAAATGAATTTAAGAGTTGTCTGTCTTCTGCTTTCTGCTTTTCGTGTGTTCACGAGGAGTGGGAAATTTGGGAGCTGTGGCCCAGGTAGAGCCAGCTCAGAGTTCCCTGGGAGCAGCCAGGGTGTGATGGGACAGTTGCTGGCTCAGTCCCAGCTGAGGCCCTTGCCCTGGAGCAGTTGTACACGTCTCTCTGGGGGTCTCTGCTTTGCTCTGCATGGGCACAATCCAGTGTAAGGACAAGAGGAACCTTCTTTGTGCTGGGAGTGCTGAGTGTGGGACCGTGTGTGTGTGTGTGTCTGTGTGACTGAATGTGCCCCTGGGAGGAACTCCAAAATACAGGTCACTTCCCAAGGGCAAGGACACCCTTCCTCCCAGGGGTGCCTTCAGCAGTGCCATGGATTTGGGGTTGATGGACACAGGTAATGTCTGTGCCCAAGTGTGTGATGTGCTGTACTTCAGCAGTGTGCTGTGGCAGGGATCTGCTCCCCGGGCCTCCACTGGAGAAGCTTCATATTTGGAGGAATGGTTGTGAACTCACCCCGATGACTCCTTACCCAAGTGGGAGGCAGCGTGGCAGGGGTTTGCTCAGGAATTCTTGCATTCCCTCTTTTCTCTAGTGGACATCTCAGCTGTGACTGGCTCTGGCATTCCAGCAGTGTGGAATGTCCTGCAGACAGGGGGGTGCTCCCCAGCTCCTCCTGTGGCTGCTCCCCTGCAGAGTCAGGCAGTGGTTCCCCGAGTCTCATGTGGGCAGTCTGCTTACAGCAGGCAGCTTTTCCTGATTAATGTCAAATGAAAGGAGAAATAGAGTTTTAAAAAGACAATCTGAATGAGGGATAGTCTGAGTCCCTTCTTGCTCCCCCCTGGATCAGAGTTCTGTGCTGTCAGCCCCCTTTTGCCAAGTGCCAAGAAGAAATGAAGTTGTTCTGTTGTGGTTAAATGTCTTCTGCCTCAACTAAGAACCAAAGAAACCAACACAGTGGATGAACTGGGACTCCTCACCTCACTGCTATTGCCTCCTTCTCCTGGGAACTGATCAGAAAAAGAAAGTTCATCGCTGATGCAAGTTTATGCAAGTTTTAGAGGATAATGAAGAGTGTAAATCAGCATCACATGAACTCACTTCCTCTATTCCCAGAACTGCAGATCCCATTATTGATGTGAATCTTCTCAATGTCCTTTATGGATTAAAGGATGGTGCATGGAAAATGGATGGGGAAAAACCTGCTGAAGAATATGAGAATGATATGAAAAGGCAAATGGGGATGAAAAGAATGTTGGTTTATTTGTTTCTAAGTTACAGATTGGATGGCAGCAAACTTCAAGTATCCCTTGCTATGAGGAATTCTTTTTGCTCAGACACTGCTTTCCCAAGTTTCTGCAGAGCTCTGGAAGCAGAGCTGAAAGCTGACACAGTGCTGGAAGGCCACAAGTCAAGGTCTGGCCGTGAGCTCTGCAGTGACCCGGTGCTGTTTCCGTGGATGCCGAGCACAGTGAGGCACCTCTCGGGGTGCAGGGGCAGTGCAGTTATCCTGGGGTCAGCAGGGAGCAATTCCACGTGGCAGGGAGCTCTTTGGGCTATTTTAACCAATACTGCTCAGAAACCTGCTTTCGAGGTACTCCTGTACTTCTGTTCCTGCTGTAGTGGCCTCGCACAGATCGATGGAAGCCTCTGGTAACTTCAAACCCGCGTTTGCCGGGGGCTCTGTGGGTTCCTTCCGTGTAGAACCGCTCTGCCTGATGCAGGATCTGCCCCTGCCTCCGTTTCCTTTCCCTCTCCCGGTTGTGCTGAAGGTGCGGCCGCGGGGCCCGAGCTCGGCTGACCCGGAGCGGCTGCGCTGGCGCGCCCCGACCGCCAGAGGGCGCGGGGAGCACAGGTACGGCCAGGTGAGAGTGGGGAGCACAGGTACGGCCAGGTGAGAGTGGGGGGGAGCACAGGTACGGCCAGGTGCGAGTGGGGGGGGAGCACAGGTTACGGCCAGGTGGAGAGTGGAGGGGGAGAGCAACAGGTACGGCTTCCAGGTGAGAGTGGGGGGGAGCAACAGGTACGGCAGGTGAGAGTGGGGGGGAGCACAAGGTAGGCCAGGTGAGAGTGGGGGGGGAGCAAAGGTAACGGCCAGGTGAGCACGTGGGGGGGGAGCACAGTACGGCCCAGGTGAGGAATGGGAGCACAGGTACGGGCCAGTGAGAGTGGGAGCCCAGGTACGGCCAGGTGAGGATGGGGAGCACAGGTACGGCCCAGGTTGAAGAAGTGGGGAGCACAGGGTATAACGGCCAGGTGAGAGTGGGGGAGCACGAGGTACGGCCAGGTGAGATGGGGAGCACAGGTACGCCAAGGTGAGAGTGGGGAGCACAGGTAACGCGCCAGTGAGGATGGGGAGCACAGGTACGGCCAGGTGAGAATGGGGGGGAGGCACAGGTACGGCCAAGGTGAGTTGTGGGGGGGAGCACAGGTACGGCCAGGTGAGAAGTGGGGGGGGAGCAAGGTAACGGCCAGGTGAGAGTGGGGGGGGAGCACAGGTACGGCCAGGATGAGGAAGTGGGGAGCAAACCATGGTACGGGCAGGTGATGACGTGGGGGGGAGCACAGGTCACGGCGCAGGTGAGAGTGGGGGGGGAGCACAGGTACCGGCCAGGTGAGGAGTGGGGGGGAGCACAGGTAAAAACGGCCAGGGTGAGAATGGGGGGGAGCACAGGTACGGCCAGGGTGAGAAGTGGGGGGGAGCACAGGTACGGCCAGGTGAGAGTGGGGGGGGGAGCACAGATACGGCCAGGTGAGAGGGGGGGGGGGGCACAGGTACGGCAGGTGAGCAGTGGGCGAGCACAGGTACGACCAGGTGAGAGTGGGGGGGGAGCAAAGGTATGGCCAGGTGAGAGTGGGGGGGAGCACAGATACGGCCAGGTGAGAGTGGGGAGCACAGGTACGGCCAGGTGAGGATGGGGGGGGAGCACAGGTACGACCAGGTGAGAATGGGGAGCACAGGTACGGCCAGGTGAGAGTGGGGAGGAGCACAGGTACAGCCAGGTGAGGGGAGCACAGGTATGGCCAGGTGAGGATGAGGGAGCACAGGTGAGACACAGACACAGGTGGGTTTGGGATGTGACCCCAGGTGAGTCCCAGACCCCCCAGGGGATTGGGATGTGACTCCAAGTGAGATACAGACACACACACACACACACCCCCGGGGGACCTGAGGGGTGACCCCAGGTGAGTGACAGACCTCCCTGAGGTTTGGGGTGTGAGCCTGGGGGAGTCACAGACCCTCCATGGGTTAGGGATCTGAGCCCCAGGTGAGTCACAGACCCAGAGGCTCTCGTGGCACACACCAGAATCTCCCGGGGAACTTGGAATTCCAGGCTGCCTTTTTCAACACGTTACAAAACTTAAAATGTGCTTTTAAATTATTCTCTCACAGCGAGGTGAGAGCTGATGTCCAGTCATCAGATTCCGAGCTCTAATTTGGGAATTAGAAAAAAATTCACAGCCAGGGATTTTTTCTTTCTAAGACTTTATTTAAAGATTTCAGGATTTTGGCCCCCAGTGGAATAAATCCTAATGGATATGCATTAAGAGGCTGAATTTTATTGTTTCTGGAGGTTTGCTTTAATCTAACTTTGCATCACATTTCGCATGGGCTTTGGAGGGAGGACAGTATGGATAGTTATGGACTTAGTAAAGAGCTCTGGCCTTTTATTTCAAAAGGGAACAAAACCAAACCCAACTTTGCATCACTTTGCTTTGGTTCACAAACTTCCTGGGCCAAGCTTGACAAGGTCCCATAGCCATGTGCAACTGTGATTTCAGTGTTGCTGAATTTGAAGGTTTCAGTGGGTATTCAGGGTTTGTACCAGACTGGAAATCATTCTCCTCGAGTGAAATGCAGAAACATTTGTGTGGAAATCCCTCTCGGCCAAAATAGCTGAGCTCTGCACCACTCCTTTTCTAAGATAAAAAGAAATGAATCCATAATAGTTTGTGACAGATGGCAGAAAATGTAACTAACTGAATGTGATTCTGTATGGAGTTATTTGAGGTTTTTGGTGTGATTTGTTGTGAGTTCCTCTCCTCCCCCCTTTCCTTCCCTTTGATTGCAGTCTTTGTCCATTTATTCTTAGGACAGAATAAGATTTCTGAGCAGGGGCCTCTCTTGTGGTGCAAAGTGAGAATTGTTTTTAATTGAGCAGAAACATGTGGAAGGATCAGGAATATCTCAAGGGATTACAGAAAAATTCCAAATTTGTACTACTTACAGCTTGTGTTTAGAGCGGGGTCTGCTGGGAATAAATGTTAGTTAGTGTGACCTGTGACCTTA